GGGGGGGGGTGTGGGGGGGGGGGGGTGTCTTTCCTGGGGTAGTAGGACCCCAAGACTTACAGTATGGCCCCATCACTTTCCAAAACAAACCCATGCACTTGTTTTCTGCATACCCTCATGTGGAGACAGGCACAAATGAGGAATGCACATGTAATCCTATTCATAGTTCAACCTTTGGTCCACATACGGTCACATGCACTGTTGAGGCTTGATGTGCTGATGAGCGGACACAGATTTTTGCCCTGCACGCAGACATCTGCAATGTTCTTGCGGAGCCTTGTAGCCCTGCTGAAGATGATGAAATGTACATCACTGGACCGTAGCAGACAAGTGGAAACTGAATTGGCACTACTGTGTTGAAGTATTAAGCTACAGTACCACATTAACTACAAATAACAAACTGTTTCACTCACCATGCTGAATATCTTTCATGTCAAGGTGCAGGGAGGACATGAGGATTCCTACTGCTTGAGAGCGCTTGTTGTTTAGGAGCTTCACAACCTGTAAAAAAAAAAGACAAACTTATAATCAAAAGTTCAAATGTAGTTTTGCTATTGCAGCACATCCTGTTTGCCATCACGTTTGATTTTGCTGCATTTCCACTGATATGGTACCCAAGATGATACTGCAAATGTAAAAAACGACTATGAAACAGAAATGTAAGCATGTAGCAGTAAGATATATAAAAATAATATTCACCATTAAGGTAAAACAAAATGCTAAATTTAAGAATTAAAGTTTGAGATGGAACAAACATATTAACCCTCTGGAGTTCTTCAGGGACAAATCTTTCCTGAGGGTAACCAGTGTACAGTGTTTTTGAAGATCCCCTGAGTATTAAAGTGTTTGTAGAGGAAAAGTCAGGGGTCACCAAAATGGTTGGAAATCATCCTCTGTTGACCACACATATCCACAGAAAATCATGCCTGTAGCTGTTCACAATAAATGTTTAAATCTGTGATTCCACCTGCATGTGTTACACAGCACAAGCACCACTTACTCATGGTAAAAGGACCACATGGTTTAGTTCCATATAGGTTTCATATATGACATGTACTATACGTCACTGACAAAACAACAGTTTAACAAATTCCACAGTAAACAACCTCATGGCTGACAGGATGACACACTTGTAGTCTGTCAATAATTAATTAATTGATGTGTACCCATTATTTGGCCCCAAATCAGAGCAGGGCTGAGGACATTTCAAATGTTTTGGTCATTTATAGAGAAGAAGAAGTTTTTTTAGGAAATGTGCAAATGGCGTCTTGGACATGTGGCTCGTATTTCAGATACATCTGCATGTAGTACTTCTTAAAATGTCTAAGAATGAATGGCATATAAAACTAAACACTGCAAGTTAAAAAGCTATGATTGGTCGCTGCTGACTTTATAATTGTGAAAATACTACTTGTACATATTTGTAAAACAGAGTTAAACACACAGACCTGTTTGGCCTTTGACTTGGTAATGGTGTCAGAGAGTGGCTGTTTCTTCTCCTTTACAGCTGTTTTTGAAAACAATTCTACAAACTCATCAAAGTCCACATCAGGCTCCTCAACTGTGTCCCACACCAATGAAGAAGAAACCTCCCTGAGAGACACAAAATAGCACTTATAACTGGTACTTTAAAATGTAAAAGAAAAATGTTTCCAGTAGACAATTACTAACCCACTGGTCTTGTTACCCTCAAAATGGTGTTGCAATGTTGCATACATTTGTAAAACGTTTGAAAAGACAGCATCTGATGTGACAGTGTACTATGAAGACATCCAACAAGATGTTGAAAAATCCTTTCTGAGCTCTTTAGAGTTTGACAGTTTTCACAGAGCTTTGTAAAATATGCTTTGTATGTACTGTAGGGCTGAAGACAACTTAGGTATTACATCCTGCTCTGCACATACAGTATATTTTAACATTTTTAGAAAGCAGGACTTGAGGATTATACCATGGATGTGCTTTAGCCTTGGTAGTTCCATGAACTGTGGTGTTGATGCATGGGTTGGACATGTCTGTTACCACGGTGATCATGTGGGGCACAAGAACCTGTTCAATTGCTTTGATACACTGATCCCTGCTAGAGCAGACTGTTGCCTTTTAGCCTCAGTCATGCAGTAATGGAATATCTGAGGTTTCAAAATCCTGGATTCTCAAACTATGTACAAGACATGTGTTCCATATTATTTGCTAAACCAAAGAATGTTTGTATGTTTGTACAAAGAGCAGCTGTTATCAAATCAATTGAAGAATTTTGTTAAAAATAAAAATGTAATTTTTTTAAGCTTTATCTTCAGTAAAATCCAATGGGCTAAGATCAAAGAACCACAGACTGAATGGAAAAGTCACAGTAAGTATTGAGCGATGCACTAAAATTGTTGGTTTGGGCCTTTACAAGTAATTAGTGAACAAAAAAATAAAATGATCCCATAGGAACCTTTTCTCTTACGTTATCATCTTTATCGGTGTCTTCAGCTCCATCAAAGATGTTCACATCATATCAGATCCTGGCTTTGATTTACACTATTACCTCCAGTTTACAGAGCAGATCAATAAGCTGAGGGGAAAATGCAGCATCATTTTTAGGCAACGATAGCTATACTTGTTACCGTCTTTACTTTTTGGTGTGCAGCTGGATCCTTGTCCAGTAGAGAGGCTTCATGGGTCTAGGTGGCTCCACCACAGCCTTCCTGGGTGGTTTCTCCTGATTAAGACCCAGAGCATATAGCCCCAGTGGCAGAGGAGGAGGCAGGGAACCCAGAGTCCCTTGAGGAGCTGGAGGAACACAGATGGCTCCTGGTGGAGGAGGGGGAGGAGGAGGCCCACAGCCTGGAGGGGGTGGGCCTCCAAGTCCTGGCAATATAGGAGGAGGGGGAGGAGGGGGAGGAATCCCTCATCCATGTGCTTACTTTTACTACTGATATTACTGACCTCAACATAGTATACATGAGATATATATTTATTTTAATAAATTACTTTTACCTTTGATTCAAACCATGCACATTCTCCCCTTTTATTTATTTATTTTTTTTACTGAGCCAGTTCATGACAGTACACTCTGTTCTGCTGTAGTGTTACCATATCACCTCCTGTTTCAAAGGCAAAACAATTTTAGCTATCAAGCTAACACTGAGTTATCTACTTAAATCTAATTATAAAGTATGTTTATTCAGCATTATGAGAGAGTTTCAATCACATAAATCTAGAATATGCTAAACATGACACAATAAAAATGAAGACTTTAAATCAGCTTGTTTTTTCCAAAATGAGATTAGAAAAAGCCTGCTCAAAATACATCACATGTTCATTTGCAAAGCAGTAACATGATCACATAACTATTTAAATAATATGCAAGATTAAAAAATATTCACTTTGGTTTCATGCTAAGTGGAACCCAGAGCCATTCGAGGATCACCAGTACAATGCAGTACAGCGTCTAATGTTTTTTTAGCGCAGCCTTGCTTTGACTAGGCTCAACTGCTGCACAACTTTTTCTTTCAGCAGGGAATTTACAAATTGAAACACTTTGCTCGTCACTCATCCTAGTGTCTTTTTTCTCCCACAGCCTAGAGGCAGTACAAGATGCAGAGCTTTAGCCTACCACCTGAAATTCATTACTCTGTTTATTTATGACTAAGCACATCTTGTCTTTTTGTTTCTCCATAATTCATAGCTCACAATGCCAGGCTTGAACCTGCAATTCATCCAACATCTTGACTGGCATTGATTGTTTTGTTTTGCTTATTCTCACACAAATTGAAAAAAAGTACCTCTGAGCATTTCTGTGACGTATCATACATTTTCCCTGAACAAGAATTTTCCAGAACTATATATTGGGATGGGTTTTATATTACCCCAAACAGTTAAATGTAAGGAAACCACATGCATTCTATATCCCCATGGGGCACAATTTACTCTTATTTATGTGTGTATAATATACTCCCCCAGTCCAAAATCTCTGATATAACTAAAACACAAACACACACACACATACAATTTGTTTCTACTTAGTCATCAGTCCCTATATCATTGTAAAGTGTAGGCACACTTTTCCATTTGAATATTAATGTATGAGATATGGCAAAAAAAAATGTTGCTAATGCATGGATGTAAGTTTCCTTATATATGAGAAGAAACTGTTGAAGCCTCTATATAAGAAGCTATATAGACAATTTATAACTATTCCTAAGCCTAAAACCCAATACCTAGCCCTCATTCATTTCTCGGATCCCTTCAATCCATTCTGTGCTGACATAACACTGTCTGCTTGAGCATCTCCACTATCATAGGTCATGCAATTCACCCCCTGCAGAGGAATTAAAGGAAGCAGAGAGATATCATGAGATGCTAATCCCTTCTAAGATGTACCTGTAGCTGTATGGATTGGTATGTAGCTCTGGGAACAAAAACATGACCTCTGTGTTCAACTTTGACCCAAAGGAAGTTGTAAACTGAGTAATCTACTGTCAGTAAAAGGCATAAACTGTTCTGGGGTCATGATATGACCCTGGCATAAGAAGTGAAGTGGCTCCAAACTGACAACATCAAGGTGCCATGGGATGAAGACTAGACTGTATGACTGCCGAAGGGGTCTCACACCTATTGTTTATCAGCAAGGCATCTATCCAGGAAAATTAAATAAATAAATAAAAAACATAAAATATATGTACAGAAACCAGAGGGTTGTTTGAGTGACACTAGTGTGATGTTGCCAGTCTCCTGACACACAAGACCATTTAGAAAGACGTCCTACAGTACACAGATGAGGCAAGACAGTAAAAAGGCCCCAGGAGCATCCCAGTGACAGGCTGTAGTAAATGTCACAACCATGAACGCTTTCTCATAGAGACAAAAGGCACACCATCGAACAGGTCATTCATATACTGTAGTAGGCCTGCAAAATTGCTACTGACAGACAAACTTAAAACAGCTCCTGCAGATTGGTATTTTGGAAAGGAACTTTTATGGGGTGGAAAAATGCACGTAGTCATTTATCATCTGGGCCAGATTTATCATGAGTTCAGATCCCTGCAGATTAGACATGAAATCAAAAATGTAATGGGACAAAATCTAAAGTCTTAAACCCTATAGTGATCATCAGTGGTGTAAGAAGTAATCAGATCTCTAACTTAAGTAAAGGTAACAATACCACTGTCTAAATATACTCTGCTACAAGTAAAAGTCCTGCATTCAAAATGTTACTTAAGTAAATGTACAGAGTATTAGCATCAAAACATGCTTAAAGTACTCATTATGTAGAACGACACATTTAAAATTAGCATATATTATATTACGTATATTATATTATTGAAATGTAATTACTGATGCATTACTGTGTACATCACATTTAGCTGGTAAAGGGACTTTATATACTGCTGAGTAGCTTGTGAATTTTCCGCTGGAGATCAATGAAGTCCTCCCACAGTCCAAAGACATGCAGCTTAGGTTGACTGGAGACTCTAAATTCACCCACAGGAGTGAGTGTGTGTGGTTGTTTGTCTCCAAGTGTCCTGTCTCTAAGCCCTGTGATAGACTGGCGACCTGTCCAGGGTGGACCCTGCCTCTCGCCCAATGTCAGCTGGGAAACCCCCCCCCCCCACACACCAAATTTTTGTATTAATCTGGTTCTTAAAAGTAACTACTAACTAAAGTTATAAAATAAATGTAGAGGAGTAAATAGTGTATTATTTGCCCCTTACAATGCAGTGAAGTAGAATTATGAAGTAGCACAAATGAAAATACTCACGTAAAGTACAGATATCTCAAAACTGTATCTAAGTATAGTCCCTAAGTAACTGTAGTTAATTTCCACTGCTGGTGGTCACTATAAGAAAACAACCTTTGTAGTACTATAAAACAGGAGTATTACAGGACAGCGATCTATATACATACTGGTGTACAGTAGTGGATGATTCAGAGATCATTAGGTTGATGCCACGATCCTCCAGACACCTTAAAACTAAGTCAAACATCATTCTGCAAGTCATTTATTCAGAAACTAATTGTAATGATAAACATGTATCCACAACAATTTCAGCAGCTCCTGTTAACATGTGTATAAAGATGAGAGTGATTATAGCGAGCTTAGCATTCAGCTTGTCTGGTTTGATTTCAATTCATTTAAACTTTGGGACTGTTTGTCTTCACCTAGTCCATTTTGGTACCTCAGCACTCCTGGATTTAAATCCAGTATTTTTACTTTTTCCCTGAGGTTTGTGCAGGGAATGCTAAGGGACTTAGCATGTAGTTTATGGAGTGCTAATATTGCAACTGAAGCTGTAGACTTCACCCAGAATCTCCTACAACATTTATGTCTCACTGTCATATATCAAAGAACTTCCCAATGTTCATACGCTGTGTTAAAGCAGGCTGCACTGGGGTGGCCATGTTTAGTACAGGCAGAGGCGAAACAATGAGATATGATCCAGAATTGTTTAGTTTGAGTAATATATTAGTTTTAAGATTTATAAGATGCCAGAAGACTGCAAAGTAATAGTATGAGACAACTCTGTAAAGCTGTTAAGGTGAAAATAACCTATTCCATCTCACCAGGTATGTGTAGAACAGTTACAAAGTAATCTGAAATGAAAGAGTGCTGGTACACATTCAGTTAGCAGGATAATGCTAATTGCGAGCGAGAGCAGACGTGTTTATTGCTTCTCTGTCTGTTTTACGATATTTTCACTTCTGTTCTTTTCATATTGTCAAGGCTTTGAGCTCTGAGCAAAAACTCTACAACTACTACAACTACTGAAATGCCTCCAAAAGGGAAGAGAGCTAATAAATCCGAGCTGAATCCGAGCTGAACGATGGTATTGAGGCGGATGAGGACAGTCTAGATTGTTAAAATTTTTTGACTTAGTGGGTCACAAGACTGCTGTGTTTATGTATAAAGCCAGGAAAGATTTATTACCTGGTGGAATTCAAAAACTATTTAATGAAAGGGAAGGGGGATACAATTTAAGGGGTCAGTTAAATTATAAAATTCATGCTATACGTACAACCAAAAAAAGATTCTGTATTTCCATAAGTGGGGTAAAACTATGGAATAATTTAGGTATGGACATAAAAAGCAGTAAGAATATTGATGAGTTTAAACACAGATATAAAGGTATGTGTCAATCAAGATATGGGCAAGAACAGGCTTAATGGTTAATCAGATGGGAGTGGGGATGTAGAATATGTATCCATGTAGTAATACTGCTTGCAAACCAATGATGATAAGATGATGTTAGGGGGTAGGACTAGATAAGTCTAACTTCTTCCTACTCCGTTCAAGCATGTACTAGGTATAAGCAAATTGAAAATATTTTTGTGGATATGTCTGGAATTATGTGTGATTACATACTGACTGTTGTTACATGTTTGAAAGAATAAATAAATCAAATCAAATCAAATGCACTGTGCTGCAAGGACAGTTGACCCAGATCGTTTGCTTTCCAACAAACACATCATTAAAATACATTTTTTGCACTTCTGCTTCCCTCACCCTGAAGTCTGTGGGCTTTTTGGTTAGATGCCTGAAATAAAGTATGTGGTTAACACAATACATTTTCACATTTTGTTTTATGACATAAAATACATCAGTATTGTAAATACCCCAGCGGTGATTTTTAATGCCTTTACATGTCTTAAAAAAGGTGGTTGCTAACAAGCAGCTAAATGAGCCTACAGAGGAAACTGAATATGGGGATACTGAACGTCATCCCGCTAAACATGGACACTCATCTACTCACTGGTCCACCTTTACAGCTTCGTTATTTTTTCGTTATCTCACGCACTTGCAAACTATTTTAACCGGCGCAGCCACGATCACTAGCTAAATTAGGTCATGCTAAGAGGAAAGGATTTTGTAGAAGAGATATGTTCGTTAAATCAAATTACAAA